AAAGGCCATCGATATTCCCTTACTTCTCAAGTTTTTCATTTTATGAGCCCTTCGATTGTATCCCATAATAAAATCTCTCTGATAAACATCTTGTCGATGATTCGATTTTAACATATTATTTATAATCTTCGTGTGCGCTTTTCGCCTGGCTTCTTTGCGTAAAGAACCTAACTCATCTGAAGTTAAGAAAAATGAACCATTTAACCTTTTAACCAGTGTATGCTAAGTAGTGGCAATAAGAATCTGAACTTTCTTAAATTGGAACCAGAACTTGAATAGGAAAACAAGTGGACACACCCGCAAGGAAACCCATCTCGAAACCAGCGAGTTGCCTAAAACCTCCCTTGTTGTCTTGCTTGCTTTCGGATAAGAAAGACTAGTCACTTTAACCTACCTTCCTAGCTTTAGTTGCCTTAAGGCTTGTCTTTCTTTCAGAACCTTGTTACTTTTAAGCTGTCTTTTCGCCTGAGGCTTTCGGACAAGACTACTTACTCCAGTAGGTTAGTAAGCTACCTCTTCCGCTTTCAGGCAAGGGTAGCTCTGAAGGGAGAGTTGAGCGGAACCAGGCATAAGGAGCAACAATCGCTATTGATAGTTCCCCCGCTAGGGGAACGTCAGGAGGGGGACATGCTCTATGTCCACTGATTCTGTTTAGTACAGTATAGGAAGCCCTTGTTTGAGTGAGAGCTTCTAGAATGCCATTCATTTCGCAATAAGAAACTTTTCCACATAGAGGTTTCAGCTACTTAAAGCGAGAGTGCATCCAAAAATTCGAGAAGAGTGCTCGGCCTTGGTTGAAACAATTATAGGTGTCAATGGACCGATTTCACTAGCAGAGCACTTTCTCCAATGTGCGCAAACAGAGATGCCACTTTCAATGATGGACACCGGCCCTTGTGTTAAAGTAGCATCGAGTTTCGCTTGGAAACCGGCAACTTTCTAGTTTCCAAATAAGTGGTACCCTTTCTTTAGAGTCCGGTAGGTCAATTAAGTTGCCTAAATCTCTTCCTTATCTGCTGCTCTGTAGCTGCCTTCCTCGCTTCGTCTTCGGCTTTCAGAGTTGTGAACTAACCTCTTCCTTTTACAGCCAGACAACTGGCAGATAAGCTGGGCATCTAAAGAACGTAAGATCCGAGCTGCCGCCAGGCATAAAAGTCATATTGTCAACTAGGGAAATTGGCACAACCAGGCATCTCAAACATTGATAAGGGAAGAATCAGGCTTTCATTAGGATGATATTCCTTTCATCCGAATGGCAAGGCTTGCTAGTTTCCTGAAGTACACTCGCATCTGTCTATCTATGTCATAGTTGCTTGGAAGGAAGGTCTCAGATGTACCTTCGGCATGTAAGAGATTTTCTTTCCTCTATCTATGTCATACTTGGGATTCACTGACAGCCAATTCCAAGTAGATCCTCCCTCCCCCTCGCTCCACTTCGTTTCGCTCGTTTTCTCTTTCCTTCTGCCTGCAAAAAAAGTTATGATATTGGTTTTGTGTGCGTTAGCGATCATCAAACCTGTGACATAGATAAGATTTACGTTCATGCAGTTGGAATGCCTGAGACCACTTTTTGCCTTGCTGTTCTTGCTTCTCTGGCTACTGCTCCGGCTAAGGCTTTCTTTCCGCTTTGACTTGCCTTCCTTATCTTTCAATCTGGACTTGCATGTGTTCCGCATATGACTATTTCGAGTGATTGCTGCTATCTGGCTTGAGTTAGACAAGCAGAGAAGGATCTTATGCCACCGGTGACCGGCCTGTCTATCTAGTATCTAGTACTAGGACTAGTAGAGTAGAGGCACTACTGGGCGGGGCTTCCTCGATCACAGCTTCTCGCTTAGCTAACTGCCAGACAAGGATGCAAATCAACTCCTTATATAGAATGCAGATCGACACATTCAATGAAGCAGCCAGTACGGCAGACAAGCTACTTTCTTATTCTAGGACAGGAAGAGAGCATTACGAATTGCCCTATTTGATCTAGTCTCTTCCATTATCGATACCCGTACATACAAAGATCGTTGTAGCAAAGTACGAGTTGGAGAGGCACATTTCCTCCCGAGCTCACATTCGTTCTTCAGTTGGTGAGTGTTACATTTCTCATTGTTCTAAAGTAAGTTAGAGTGGTCTGCTCCTCTAACTAGAAATGAAAATCTCGTAAGAGAAAGGAAAACCGTTGATCTAGTATGGATCTGCCTTTCTTCGCGCTGACTCTGTGTTATAAAAGTGCTGAAAATTCTCCTAATGCTACCAGCTTCCTCCACCGTCCGAGCCTAGTCGGTGACAGCATATAGGGGCGACACGCGCGTGGAAGCCGAGATGGGACAAGATCGGAGGGAGGAGTGCTGTGTGAGAGAAGAACGAGTGTTCTTGGAGTTCTTGTGGAGTCGACGGTGTAGTTGCCGTTGTGGAAGGTGTGAAGCTTGCTTCCAGTCCTTCAATGGCGCTCACCCTCGGGTTGCAGAGCATTGCGAGGATCGAGATTGCGAAGAGCACTGTGAAT